CAACATCATTAGTTTCACCGAGGATAAATCCTATCCAACCAGGTACTCTTATTCTTGTTGATGTTTCTAACCCTATTGCAATTGATAATTCATCTGCTAATAACCTAGACATCCTATTACACAAAGGAAGGGAGTTAGGTCTTGTACCACAAAGCATCCTATCTCCCATTTTGTCTCCAAGGAGAACATCTCATCCTCATTCTATGCCTTCCTTTTTTTTTTGATAAATCATTTTATGCCTTCCATTCTTCCATTGGCAATGTCCCTATCCCTAAAAATGTGGCAGAGGCCCTCTCAGTACCTAAATGGACAGATGCAATGAAAGAAAAGATAAATGCCTTACATAAAAATGGTACATGGGAGTTAGTGGATATTCCTGAAGATAAGGGATTGATAGGGTGTAAGTGGGTGTTCGCAATGAAGCACAGGGCTAATGGCACAATAGAAAGGTATAAAGCCTGATTAGTGGCAAAAGGGTTTACTCAAGTGTATGGAGTAGATTATGCAGAGACATTTTCTCCTTTTTTTTGAAAAGAGGTAAGGTAAAATTTATTTATGATGAGAAGATAATTATACAAGAATGGGGGAAACCACAAGCCAATTAGCCCCCAAAGGATATGATCATAACTCCCACAGACTAACTGAGACTTTTGTTCCAATAAATAAGATGAATTCTATCAGAGTTCTTTTCTCCCTTACTACTAACCTTAATTGGGATCTTCATCAACTAGACATTAAAAATACCTTCTTGAATGGTGACCTTAAAGAAGAGGTGTACATGGTACAACCCCCTAGCTTTAGTGCCCAAGGCAAAGAACATAAAGTGTGCAAGTTAAAGAAGTCCTTGTATGGACTAAAACAATCACCAACTTGGTTTAGCAAGTTTCATCTGGTTATGCACATAGTTGTCAAGGCGACTAGGCGGTTTTTGAAGGTCGCCTCGCCCAAACGCCATAAGTTTTGCGCACTAGGCACCCACCCAAAGACTTAGGCGGGCGCCTAATGTATTTAAAATAATTATTTTTTTTATTTATTAGTTTGATATTTCATTGGTTGTTGTATTCCTTTAAAATAAACCTTGTTACACTGTATCAGTTTAGTATTAAGACAACTATAGAATAGTGTATACAACTAAACTAAGACAAGGGTTTTGGTTCGACTGGAGAGGGAGGAGAACCGAATAGGCGAACTCTGCAAACTCAAGCAGCCCAGCTCCATCGCACTCGCACTTGCACCTTAGTTCAAGCAGATACTTCTTCAGATTTCAGAGTTTCAGCATTTTCTACTTTTTTACTTTTTTTTTTCGAAAAACAGAGGCTCCGACAGTCCTCCCTTCTTCTTCTCCTCCTCCTTTCTCTTCTCAGATATCAGTTCAGTTGAGAAAACAGGGGCTCGCCAGTCCTTTTCTTTTTTTTCGAAAAAAAAGGCGTTCCGCCCCTATACTCCTCAGTCCTCCCTTTCTCCACTTCCACCCACCCCATGAGTGGTGTTCTCGGTCAGTCACTCTCACTCTCAATCATCAGTCTGCCCCATGAGTCCCCGTTTTTTTTGAAAAAAAAACAGGGGCTCCGCCCTACTCTTCTCCTCCCTTCAGTCATTCACAATTTCACACTTGAAGTCTTGAATCATCTCAGTTTTTAATCTCTTCTTTAATTCTTCTTCTTCTCGTTCAATTTTTTTTGTTTATATCAATAGTATATATGATTATGTGGCTGATTTTTTTATGGCTGAAATAAATGTCTTGAATCTGAAACTTGAATAAAATGTTTATGGCTGATTCTTCTTCTCATTCAATTTTTTTATGGCTGATTTAGTGATTGTATGGCTGAATTGAATCAAATGTTTTTTTTTATGGCTGAATTACATGTCCGAAAAGCATATATAAAGTAAAAACTCAATAAAACAAGCATTTTAAAATTCCAACGCCTAGGCGCCTGGGCGCCCTGTGGTCACCTAGCCTCGCCTAGGCGCCTTGAAAACTATGGTTATGCAGCAGATTGGCTACAAACAGTGCCAAATTGACCATACATTATTTGTGAAAAGAGGAGAAGGAAAGATTGCAGCCTTGATAGTGTATGTTGATGACATAGTGATCACAGGTGATTGGAAAGTTGAAATTCAAAGGCTAAAGGACCTCTTGGCCACTCAATTTGATTTGAAGGATCTAGGTCCCTTACGGTATTTCCTTGAAAGTCAAGTGGCCCGCTCACAAAAGGAGATCTTTATTTCTCAAAGGAAATACATCCTAGGTTTGTTACAGGATTCGGGAAAACTAGGGGATAAGCCAGCTAACTCTCCCATTGATCCAAACCACAGACTGGGTAACTGTTGTGGTGAGATTATCAAGGATGTAAATCAATTCCAGAGACTTGTGGGAAGGCTCTTGTATTTGTCCATGACCCAACCAGACATTACTTATGCCGTGGGTGTTCTTAGTCAGTTCTTGCATGCTCCTAAGACCACATACTTAGAGGTAGCTGAGAGAATCCTTAGGTATCTAAAGAAGTTTCCAATAACTGGTTTACTATGGGCATTTGAAGGTTGAAGTATATACAGATGTTGACTGGGACAGATCAGTTGATGACAGAAAGTCCACTAGTGGGTTTGTACCTTTGTGGGAGGAAACCTAGTCACATGGAAAAGCAAGAAACAAAGTATTGTGGCTAGGTCTAGTGCTAAGCTAAGTATAGAGCAATGTCCCATGGAGCAGCTGAAGTTATGTGGATAAAGAATTTGTTGAGTGAGTTGGGTTTTACAGTTGAGCCCCATGTCCTTGTATTATGATAACAAGGCTGCCATCAACATTGCAGTCAACCCAATTGTTCATGATAGAACTAAACATATTAAGGTAGACAAACACTTTATCAAGGAGAAAATTATTAATGGGGAAGTGTGTACTCCATATGTTAGTTCCAAGGAGCAACTTGCAGACATATTTACAAAGGGCTTACATCACTTGCAACACAATGACCTATGTGACAAGTTGGGCATGATTGATATCTATGTCCCAACTTGAGGGGGAGTGTTGAAACTGTCAGTCTTTTCTTTATTTTAGCGTCACAGAGGCACATGTGTAATTTTCTTCCCATTTATTATTAGAGTGGGTGGCCCTAATATAAATACTAAAGCTGGTGCCGCCAGCTAGAGATTTTTTACTCCAAAATCTCTTTATCTCCTCTCTCCTCTCTGTTCTAATCTTCTACTGATATTTTACCAAGAAAACAACCCTTTATATGTCAAATCAGGTGTCTTAGGTAGCTTCAATAAACTCATCTAAAGATGTAATTTATCCCCTTGAGACATTCCTTTAAGTTCCTAGCCCACTTAGCTCGCATAGGGCTACCCATCCAATATCATAATAATTTTGAAATCTGAATTCCATTGGATAATTTATTGTGGACATTTCAAGCCCATAGAAAGTTGGCAGAAGTGAGTCTACTCACTAGTTCTCAATTAAACCATTATGGAGAATGTCAAAGCAACAAAGTAAAACTGCAAGTCTGTAATATAGAATATCTAAGAGAAAGAAGGGAAGAAAGAACATAAACAGTGAATGTTATACTGATGCCACACTATATTATCTGGTAATCATTTTATATTGATATTTTGAAGAAAAGCATGTCAGTCTAAGAGGATCTATCATTGTTGTTAGATCTTTAAAAATACAAACAGGTAAAGAACAAGAAAAAGAGAAGAAGTGTCACCCTCAATTTCTGTAACACAAGAGGTTTAAGCTTTCCAGGAAAGGATAAATCACAATATCTTTCTTCCAGAAAGCAACAGAAAAATGGCAATTTGCAATTGAGTTGTTTGAGAAGAATGGAACCAAGGCGTGGTAGCTTCCATAAAACAGTAAAACAGAACCACTAACTCCATGCCACCAAAAACCAAACCAGATCATAAATGATACTTAAAACCATGCTGAAATGATGAAAAGACATACCATATGGCACAAAAGGTCACATTCTTTCCTAAACCTATAATCCAGCAATAGACAAACCCAAAGCTAAGTTGGCCTTAGTGCTGTACTCAAGGTTCAAAGTATCGATACACCTCTGTGTGTTGGCAGAGGTGTATCAGTACAAAAATCCTTGTGTGTTTATATTTTTTTAGCTTTTTTTTCAAAAATTATTATATATATATATATGTATATATATATATATAAGAGGGGTCTCAAAACACCTGTTTTGATCCTTGGCTGTAATATGCACCTGGTTAAACAAGTAGAGTTTTATTTAAGATTTTGTGGTTTCTTCATATATCTCCTTTTTTTCTTAAGAAATTTAACAGGTATAAGGGAGATATTTAAATACAAAACAGTTTATAATCTTTTATATGTATATAGTCAAAGAAAAGAGCTGTTACTCGCTCACCAGATTGATCCACAAATAACATGTATTCTTCTTGGTTGAGAAACTAGCAAAATAAAGTTTTGCTACATCTGCTACTGAGTTTTTCTTGAGGTGTAATTCATCCATGTTGATTGATCCAGCATCATTGATCACTATTTTTGGTTTGACACTGTTCCAAGTCCATTTTGGTTTGTCTTTACTTAATTCCTTTATTGATCATTTAGCTGAAAAATCTTATCCCTAATATTTTTTTCCAACCCACCCTCTTTCACAAACAAACACTCACAATATGATAGTATGATAGATCATAACAATTCTTCCACTGCCATTAATTTCAAGACATCAAATCCATGACAGTGTCAAGCAACTTTATTTGTAAATAGGCCAACTGAATTATGGTTGTGCAAAGGGTACATGCAAGGATGTACAAAGTTACACAAAGAATGGACATCCAGCACCTACTAGTGCAATTGAACTTCTGACTGTTTGGTTATGATGTAGTACATTAGCCACGTTAACCAATTTATCTAAAGGTCTAACTACAGCCTTTCTTTTTTAATGTTTATAGTGATATTTTTAGAATATAACATCCAAGCGCAAGTGTGATGGGAATGGAAAAGAAAAATAAATTAAATATAAAAATCTCACCAACAGACAACCACTGGGGTGGTCGAATTGTACATTTTCCCCTCTTCTTCAAAGCTACTGCAAGCCATAGCGGCACTTCAGTTGCAATTTGTGGACGAAAAGGACCAAAGTCACCCTATTAATGGATCAACTCAATCGTCAATTGAAAAAATAGAGAGTCCAAATTCCAAAATGAAAAGAATAAAAGAAATAGATAAGAAAGTAGATAATTACACAAATAAAATTTAGAGGGCCCATTTTCATGTTGGGAACAATCTCTACCATTTCATCTTCTGCAAGAAACTCTACCTATAATACCAATTCCTTTCAAATAATCAGCCTCAGAGCCTAGCATCACTCCAATACGTAAGAGAATAACAGGTTTTCATATAAAAGATGAAACATTAGAATCCAAATCTAAAATGAAGGGTGCTAAGAAAGGAGAGAGTAAAGGAAAGAAGAAAGGAGAGAATGTCAGAGACCTCAGCTGCAGAAAAAACTGATAAGTGAGGGTCAGATTGTCCAGCCATTCCTGAAATTTGGTGATTGAAGGAGTCTGCGTCTACAATGCTGCAACTATATGATTGCACTAACCTGGAATAATGACAGATGAAATGGTATGAAATCCTCATAAAAATTAAAGAGAAAGCAAGGAAATGCAGATGAGGAAGTAAATAGAAGAAGGTGACAGTAGTTGCACAGACGACGGGGTAGAAGCAAAATCGATACCAGGCTTACCAGCAAGGGTTGGAGGAGAAGTGATTTCAGTCCACAGTCCAGACAGTTTCGGAGTTTAGGGCTGCAAACAGTGAGCACAAATTATCTAAACCTGATAGCTGTGTCAAAAGCTGTGTAACTAATAATAACGCCGCACGTCAGAAGCTCTGCAACCATAATAACGTCCCACATCAGTCATGCATTTGAAGAGAGAAAGAGAGAGAGCTCTAAAATTTGATACACTTGGTTAGTCTCGGGTGCAGCTGGGCATGGGTGGGTTAATTAGTCCATACAAAAAATTGATATATGTGTGTGTATATGTATGTATATATGTATGTATGCATACATGTATAGTTTATTGAAAAAAAAAAATATATGCATATATGCACGTATGCATACAAATATGTATCTACATATGCACATATATATGTATATAGTCGGGTCAGGCTTGGGTTGGGGTAAGGTTGGGCCGATTTGGGTTGGCTTCGGGCTTCTAAGGGCTATGCCCTAGCCCCGCCCAAAAAATAAGCCAAAACTTTTGAGCCCAGAACCAGCCCAAGGACCAAAAATTTAAGCTTAGCCTGTGTAAACTTGTGGGTTGGACCGGTCTAGGTTCGGATTGGGCCCACCCAAGTTGCACCCCTACTGATAACAACAGCTGTTTAGCAGGTTATGGAACCAATAATAACACTCCACACCAATCATAAAATACAAGACTCACAACCATTCAACAGTTCACTATGTCCCATGTAATTTTCTACTTGCGTAGGGTGTTACCCTTGGGCCCTGTTCTTTTTTCGGAAACATATTTACCTGGGTAAATGTACTTACCTAGGTAAGTGTTTCCCATGTTCCTTTGCAACACCCATGCACTTACCCAGGAAACACTTACCTAGGTAAGTGCATTTACCCATGTTCTTTTGCAACACCCACTTTCCTGGGTAAAATGGTAAATTGTTATTTTTTTCATCTCTTGCCAATTTTACCCTTTGGCCCAGATCTATGTTATTTGGATTTTTTTGTCTCATTAATACATAACCTGTCCAAATAACAGGTTCAACTATAATCTGTCCCAAACAATAACTGTGGAGGAAAGATAAACAAGAACATGTAATAACTTGATCAGCTCTGTGTTGATTAATGATTGGCAGGCCTTTTTTTTATAAATGATAGCATTTTATTAAAAAAGAGGGATTACATCAAGATTTAGAAGACAAACTATCCCAATAGGGATGCGAGGTGCAGCCCCATTCTACAATGACCCAAATTACAACTGAGCCAAGAACAGTTCAGACTTAAACACCCCCATCTTCGCAAAATAATCAGCCATTTCATTTGCAGACCGCCTTTCCCATTTCACAAGAACTGTCATGTCTCTAACTAGCCATTTGAACTTTTTCATAGATTCGTTGTACTTCCAACTCACTGTTTCTGGTTCCTTCAGCCACCCTATTATCAATTTAGAGTCACCTTCAATGAGCAGTCTATCAAAATTTAGCTGTCTCGCAATCTGTACTCCTTGCAAGACTGCTTGAAACTCTGCAGAAGCTGAGTCCCCTATTCCAATTGGCAGGCCTAATTTAGCCAACCAAGCATTTTCCTAAAATCTCTGCTGCAACTATCTATCTCATAGAAGAATATAGACAAACATCCATGCTTAACCACATAAAACTGCTGATGTTGGTTGTATTAAAAAATGTGAGGCAAATATTATTTTAATACAAAGATTATTTTAATACAAAGCTTATTCAATAAAATTGAAATCCAAATAAAGCTTGATGATAGGGTAATACAGGAGGAATAAACCAGCACACATGCTAGAAAGGAGCTTCAGCATTTAATCTATAAAATACAAGTTGCTCTTCGAAATATGTTGTTTGATCATGCTTCCCCCCGGAAATTAATGGCTAAACAATGCTGGAGTTAGAATTTTGCAAAGAAAGAAAGAACAAAGATCACTCAATCAACAAGAATAAAATGACAAATGGAACATTGTCGTCCTTAGTGAACCCAAACTGTACTGAACCTGAGTTGTTTCCATCCTTGGTGAAACAAAAATTAAAATCAGTTCTCTTGAATGCTTAGACATATTTCTACTCTCATACATAAATATAACATCCAAATTGCAGGTTTGTCATCATGCATAAATAAAACATTATAATCAAAAGATTTACTTATGGGGTTCTGTCAACATATTGCTGGCCATGTTGATCCAGCTGCCTATAAGGAATATCGGCTGTACTTTATATCACTGATATTTCTTATGTGCGGCTTGGTGAATATGGCCAGCAATGTGTTATGGTCAGCAGATCCATACTCAAATGAATGAAAGATGAAAGTACTTTTTATTAAAAATGTGGTGAACTTGGAAGACTAGTGTTTTTATCTAGAGAATCATGATTATATAAACCTATTGCTTCTAGAATTAAGAAAAGCAATATTTTATAAGCTTTGAAACTGTTATGGGCCCGGGCGTAGGATCTCGTCACGGGTCGGTCCACGGGGAGAACCTCTAGCTTCCCCTTGCCCCTCCCTTTGCGTGCAAACCCTATCGTGGCGACCCTAAGGTGATTTGTTCAAGAGATCACCCTAACTCTCCTCTACTCTTCTCTTTGACTGAAACTGAATGCCTTTATTCTCAATTCGCAGCTCCTTAAATAGGAGATTACAAGAGGTGAGAATCCTCTCTGTAGGAGGACTCCCTGTAGAATTCGACTACTTACAGATAAGGCTAAGATAAATCAAACTCTAAGATCAATCAAACTCCTACTTCTAATAGATAAACAAACTCCTACTATTCTTCTAATAGATAAAGTAAGATAAGGGAAACTACTAAGGATAAGATAAGATAAGCTGAGAGTTGATAAGATAAGCTGCCGCCCTATGGGCCCCTCTTTACTGCTGCTGTCGGCGGCTGTACGTCTTCCCCACGAGTGCATCCACAATATTACACCCCTCCTGGGCAACAAGCTTGTCCCCAAGCTCGAGATCTAGGTAGGCGTCTTGAAGAACAGTCCAGGGGATCCAAGTGGCCTCAGCTGATGGTAGGTCGTCCAATTCCACTAGGACTTCGAGAGTACCCCGATTGATGCGAGATCAAACCAGAGCCCGAGGCTGGAGGATGGGTCTGCCGTCCCTTAAGGGTGGTAGGGAAGGTACCTTATCAGGAGGAGTACCTGTAAATGGCTTGAGCAAGGACACATGGAAGGTATCATGGAGTTTGTTGTGCTCTAGTAGCTCGAGCTGATATGCAACTTTCCCGATTCGCCGTAAAACCTTGAAGGGCCCGTAAAAATTGGGAGCCAGTTTAGGGGAAGATCTACTTTTGAGAGAGTGTTGCCGATAGGGTTGGAGCTTCAACCACGCGAACTGTCCGGGCTCGAAAGTTAATTCTCTGTGGCGATGATCGTAGGCATTCTTCATGCGTGTCTGAGCCTGCTGTAAGCGGAGAGCGACTTCGGCCAGGAGGGCATCACAATCTTGTAGACCACGATCGATTTCTTCCAGTTGTGTCGAACCGAGTTCATAGGACAATAGGGGGGGGGTTCCCGACCATAGACAACCTGGAATGGAGTCATGCCAAGAGAAGAGTGATAGGCCGTGTTGTAGCAGTATTCGGCCCACGGAAGGCAATCCACCCAACGTCGTGGCTGGTCACCCACAAAACAACGGAGGTACATCTCTATGGTACGAATTACCACCTCTGTTTTCCCGTCTGTCTGCGGGTGGTAGGCAAAGGAAAAGGCTAGGGTTGTTCCTTGCAATCGAAATAGCTCCTTCCAGAAGGTGCTAGTAAAAACCGGGTCCCTGTCACTGACGATGGATTCGAGTAGCCCATGCAAACGGGAAATATGTGTGAAGAAGACGTGGGCAACCAAAACTGCGCTATATGGGTGGGATAAGGGAATGAAATGAGCATACTTGGAAAAACGATCCACCACCACAAATAAGACCGATTTTCCGCCAACCTTGGGTAGGCCCGCCGGGTGTAAGTTTTTCCATTTTTGTTGTTGGCACATAGAGCAATTCTGGATGAAGTCCCGAATCGAAGCCCGCATACCATGCCAATGGAAATCGACATGGACGCAGTGCAATGTCTTCTGAACACCTTCATGTGTGGAGTCATGAATGCTGGAGATGATGGAGGGGATTAAGGAACAGTCGGCTGGGAGATATACCCGTCCCTTGTATAGTACCAGCTCGTCGTGAATGGACCAGTTCGGGTTGGTTGCTCCGGACTGTATTTTCTGAACAAGGTCCCTCCACTCCGGTGATTAGGGCAGCATGCTTCTAATGCTTTCCAATAGGGTGACGCGGGGCCGAGAGATTGCACAAAGGTGTATAGCATCTTCGTCACGCCTGGACAGGGCATCTACGGCCCGATTTAAGGTCCCTGCCCTGTAGTCTACCCGGAAATCAAACCCAAGCAGTTTACTCGCCCAGTGTTGTTGAGGTGGAGTGGTAAGTCGCTGCTCCAGTAGATACTTGAGACTGTAGTGATATGTCTTGACGATGAAGGGTCTCCCCCACAAGTATGGCCTCCAGTGTTGTACGGCCTTGGCTAGTCCAATCAACTCGCGCTCGTAGGCCGGTAGCTTAAGATGCCGGTCAGCTAGTTTGCAGCTAAAGAAGGCTATGGGGTGTCCTTGTTGTTGCAGTACTGCTCCAATGCCTATACCGGAAGCATCGCATTCAACCGTAAATTCTAGGTCAAAGTTTGGTAACTACAGCACGGGGGTGGAGGAGAGTGCATCCCTTAAGTTTGCGAAGGCGGTGCCAATTGCTTCATCCCACTGGAACGCGTTCTTCTTTAGCATCTTGGTTAATGGGGCAGCCAATAGTCCATAATTCTTTACAAACTTGCGGTAATACCCAGTCAGTCCTAGGAACCCGCGGAGAGCTTTGGTGGACTGAGGTTTGGGCCACTCTTGAATTGCTTGGATTTTGGAGCCATCTACTGAGACACCTTGCCCGCTGATTACATCTCCCAGATAAAGGACCTGGCGCTCCCCGAAGGAACATTTGGGCCGCTTCAGGAAGAGTTTGTGTCGGCGCAGTAGTTCCAGAACAGTTCGTAGGTGACGAACGTGCTCAACCCATGATGTACTGTAAACCAGGATGTCGTCAAAGAATACTAGGATGAATCTGCGAAGGTGGGGCCAAAATACCTCGTTCATTAACGACTGAAATGTGGATGGAGCGTTGGTAGGGCCGAACGGCATGACTAAGAAATTCGAAGTGGTCATGATGCGTCCGGAAGGCTGTTTTTTTCCACATCCTCGGGGGCCATCCGGACTTGAAAGTACCCTGATCTGAGATCTAGCTTCGAGAAGTACTGAGACCCGTGGAGTTCATCCAGCAGTTCGTCTACCACGGGAATCGGAAATTTGTCCTTGAGGGTTCTGTTGTTGAGTTCTTTGTAATCCACACAAAACCTCCAAGTGTTGTCTTGCTTTGGTACCAATAAAACCGGTGAAGAGAAGGGGGAGCGGCTAGGGCGGATGATTCCTTGTTTCAACATTTCCGCACACTGTTTCTCTATCTCATCTTTTTGCAAATGCGGGTAGCGGTATGGCCAGACGACGACGGGTTCTGAACCTGGTATTAAAGGAATCCGATGGTCACACGATCGGGCAGGTGGGAGTCCCTTGGGTTCTTGAAATACGTCCGGGAAGTCGGTGAGAAGTCTCTCCATCTCTGCGGTGTGCATGGTTTCGCCATGGAGAATATACACTTGCGGTCTTTTTGCCTTTACCTTGGTTCCCTGCCAGGTGACTTGTTTTCCATTCAGGCGGAATGACATGGTTGGGGCATTGAAGTCGCATAGGATGGGGCCTAGAGTGATGAGCCACTTAACCCCAAGCACTATATCAAACTCGTCCAGGGGCAGCACAAATAAATCAGCGGAGAAGGGTTCGGATTCGACCTGTATTTGGATGTTCCTACAGATTCCAGGGCTGCGAACTCTCTCCCCATTTGTGACGGCTACCTGTAGTTGCGGTCTGCTTTCCACCGGTAGTTTCAGTTGAAGTGTCGCTTGCTCGCTGACAAAATTGTGCGTGCTTCCCGAGTCCACAAATATACGTACTGGTTTCCCTGCCACCTGTGCCCGCAGCTGCATGGTTTGAGAGTTCTTTATCCCGATGATGGCGTGGAGGGAGATCTCGGGTTCTAGTGCTGTGGGTTCCTCCTCGTCTTCCTCCAGTTCGTCTACCAGGAGGCAGAACAGCCACTTGCATCGGTGCCCGGCTGAGTACAGCCCGTCGCAGTTGAAGCATTGCCCTCTTGCCCGGCGCTCCGCCATCTCAGCTCTAGATAAGCGTTTGATGGGAGGTGTCGTCATGCTGCTTCCTATGCTAGGTGCCGATCTGGAAGTGTTACCTGTGTGAAGCTTTTGTTCCCTGTTGGCTGCCAAAGAAGACCCCCCCTCCAATTGACTTTGGGTTTGTCCATGAAGTCGTTGAACGCCCCATGCTGAAAGATCCTCGGCTAATCTGTAGCTTGCGCCCGAAAGCACGAGCTAGGTTCATGGCGGTGATCAGGTTGGGAGGGCTCTGCATTTCCACATCGACTCTCAGGGGCTCGGCTAATCCAGCAGTGAACATATCCACCTGCTGATCTGGGCATACTGAGGTGGCTCTGGCGAGAAGGGTCTGAAATTGCCGCTGGTACTCTGCTACGGTCCCTGTTTGCTTGAGGTTAATTAACTCTCCCAATGGGTTGGTTGTCAATTGGGGCTCAAACCGGAGGAGGCAATAGGACTTGAATTGGTCCCAGCTGAGTCCTGGTTCCTCCTGCTCTACTCGGTAGAACCAGAGCTGTGCTTCCTCTGTCAGATGAAACGCGGCCAGACTGACCTTATCCCTTTCCTCCGTGCGCTGATTGCGAAAGAATTGCTCGCAGCGGTACAGCCATCCTAGTGGGTCGCCGCTGCCGCTGTATGAAGGAAAGTCCAGCCTACTGTACTTGGGTATGACCGCTGCTGTTGGGGTGGCGATCTGTCATTCGCCGGATGCCTCCGCCAAATCTGGTCGGCAGCTGTTAGTGGTGGTCGCCCCTTCAAGGCTCCTCTCCCTGGTGGAGAAATACGACTCGAGTAGCCGACGAAGCTCTCGGACATCTTCCTTGACTTCTCTCCCTTCCGCGTGGTTCTCCACGAGTCAGTGTTCCAAGTCGTGGACCCTGGATGATAGCTGCTCCATATTGCCCATGACGCTTGGCTCTGATACCAAAATGTTGTGGGCCCGGGCATAGGATCTCGTCACGGGTCAGTCCACGGGGAGAACCTCTAGCTTTCCCTTGCCCCTCCCTTTGCGTGCAGACCCTATCGTGGCGACCCTAAGGTGATTTGTTCAAGAGATCACCCTAACTCTCCTCTACTCTTCTCTTTGACTGAAACTAAATGCCTTTATTCTCAATTCGCAGCTCCTTAAATAGGAGATTACAAGAGGTGAGAATCCTCTCTCTAGGAGGACTCCCTGTAGAATTCGACTACTTACAGATAAGGCTAAGATAAATCAAACTCTAAGATCAATCAAACTCCTACTTCTAATAGATAAACAAACTCCTACTATTCTTCTAATAGATAAAGTAAGATAAGGGAAACTACTAAGGATAAGATAAGATAAGCTGAGAGCTGATAAGATAAGCTGCCGCCCTGTGGGCCTCTCCTTACTGCTGCTGCCGGCGGCTGTACGTCCTCCCCATGAATGCATCCACAACAGAAACCATGTTTGAAAGAAACATGAGATGTAAGAAAAACTCTAATACACCAACATCATCATCATATTGTTATTTGTTTATTCATCAATTCTTCCATGGGACGTCCACAAAGCTAGAAAGTAACAAAAAGATTTGGTTTGTGCTTGAGAGCCCAGGAATTTGACAATTAATATACACAATTGTTATATAATTAAAAGAAAAAGGTATGGGCTTATACTTGATGTTGAAAGAGTTGAATGGAATCTTGGGCTAAACCTCTATGTTTGATCCACCAAATCTTCAGTGCACTTCCAATAATGGCAATCAACAATCCCAAGTAAGCCACCATCTCATTAAACAAATTCACCGTTATAGAGCACCGACATAGGTGTGTTGTCAATGCTACTACATGGAACGAATAGAGTAAGGCACAAAGGGATGTGTGTCTGTCTTTCCTTAAGTCAATTACTTGTGGTTTAAATCATGAGGTGTTAAGGGCCAGTTCTTTGGAGAATTCAACAGATTAGTGTACTTTGTTTAATCTATAAACTTCTGATTAGCAAATGGCGACCCTCTTTTTCTTTTTGGTCTCATGGGACCTGGTTTTAGGCTTTAGACACAATTACTGGGTTAACTAGAAAATGAACAGGGTTCGTGGATGGGGAATATCAGTTATTTGTGCAGATTGGCGTAAAAAAGTTGTTTATGCAGATTGAAGATTAGTGCTTTTCTGGGTATTTCTGTTTATGCAGATTGAAGATTAGTTTAAAATACAATTTGCATTGTTCAAAGAAAGAAAACAACATTCTAGTCGATTCTGGTTATTTCTCAAATGTGTAGAAGACTTCGACAATTCCATAACTTTGGTGGATTGATGTTAGGGGAAAAAGGAAAACAAGAGGAAACAGATCAGACCTAGACTATGCTCTCATGGAAAAATAATAAATTCGAGAAAAAAACAAAAAATACATACCTCGACTTCGATTTGGACTTGAATGCAACGGTCGCAGCACCTGTTCTCCCTGTATTCTTCTTTTTATTCGTTCTCTCTGTCTCCCTATCTTTGGCTTCTCCTCTCTCTCTCTCTACTCTTCTTTGTTCGTTCTCACTGCTTAAGGTTTTGTTCTCCTTCCTTCAGGCTTTTCTTTTTAATCTCTATTCTCTTCTTTCTTCGCGCGCGCGGGCCAATATAATTTTAATTAGGTTTTCGTTTTTAGAATCTGGCTCCTAGTTGTGGGTCAGGGCAGGGATGAGCATAGCCTATCAGTGATACCCAAAAACCCGAGGACCAATCTGACATCCGATCTATGGTTTTCAAAACCGGATCGGATCGGACGGTTAGACCGGAAAAACCGGGAACCGGTCATTTGACCGGTTCTGTTTTCCCCTAAAAACTGCTTTTTCCCCCAAAATCATTTTTTCCCCAAAACCGTTGATTTTGGTCAACAAACCGCTGAACTGGCCGATTAACCATTTGAACCGTTCGAACGGTTTTGACCTTTTTTCAATTTTTTGATTTTTTTAAATTTTTACTTTTTTGTCAAAACAGGCCAATCATTCGGGTCAGACTGTTCAAACCGATAAGCGGACCCCTAACCGGTTTGGTCACCAGGTCGGCTTTAAAAACCATGATCCAATCCGATTATGTACGACTTGGATGGTGTGTATATATGTAACCGGATCATATTTGGGTGTTACAATCTACATTTAATTAATAATAAGATCGGATTCAGATTTGATCCCATCCAATCTGATTATAATATAATATTTATTAATTTTATATATGTTTTATATAATTATATATACAATTATAAAAATATATTCTATATATTATATTATGTGAATATATAAAATAAATTGAGTGTATTATATGTATATTAGTTTATTATATATAAAGGTTAAAAGATAGATAAATTTTTAATATTTTGGTATTTTAGATAATTTACAGCGGAGTCGGATTAAATCTGAATCCGATCCGAATCCGTTAAGATTCAAATTCAAGTCTTTAAATCCTATTAGATTTTGGATTGAATTCAGATGCACGCATGCTATCAGTAATTAGATCGAGATGCAGATTTTGCTATATTCGATCAGAGTCCAATCCGATTACAACCTTAGTTAGGCATCCAAACTTATTCATATTAAATTTATTTATTTATTTAAACTACTGGAACCGTAGAGTGAGGTTTTGGGTGTGGGCCCAGGTAAGGTTAGGCTCAATCTTACTATACTAGAAAGTAGTGTTTTAAAAACCAACCTGGAGGTCAAACTCTTTTTGCCTCTAGGTTGTGGGTCACTAGTGGCATCATCAGCAGCTACACACATTATCAATAAAAGAACGTATAATTGTATTTTATTAATACACATTTTAGTATGCAACCCATGACCAGGTCATCAGGTTTTGACAAACCCGGATTTGAAATTAGGGGTGAGCATTTGGTTTATTCGATTAAAAACAGAACCGAATAAACCAAAATTTTAAAATCAAAATAAAAAATAAAAAACCAAAATCGAATTACAAGAAAACCGAAATAATTGAAGCCAAAATTTTCGATTCAGTTTTTGGTTATTTCAATTAAAACCAAATTTCATTGACGAACACAAAATATTGTATATTATAACGTATAAAATATATTATATATTATGAAACTGAATTTCATTATAATATACTATTAATATATAAATATATAACATATTATATATTATATATTACATGTTACATAATGAATTCTAGTTAATTCGTTTCTTTTTCCAATTAACCAAATTCTTTATTCTGAAAACTGAATTAACCGAACCAAAAAAAAAGAAAAAAATACCAAAATTTTCAGTTCGTTTTTTTGGTTTTATTCAAATAATGCTCACCCCTACCTAGAATCCAAGCTGGGTGACGATTCAAATGATTCAACTGGCCAGGTTAACAGCAAGTTGAAAACGTTGATAGAAAGCAATAAATTAATTAATTTTGGTCTCAGAATAATGGGACTATAGGGTTAATTTGTTTTCAAGTATGGGCTTAGGTGGCCTGTTAATGATACATGGAAATTCAAGGCCAAATCCGACATCCAATACGATCATTTCAGATTTAGATGATGTATTTATGTAATAGGATCAGATTTTGATGTTACAATCTACATCTGATTAATAATTGGATCAGATTTAGATTTGATTGTACCCCTCCAGTCCAATTAAAATCTGAATCCAATTATATTATAATATTTATGAATTTTAATATATAAATTTTATATAATTATATTTGTACAAATATTATATATGAATTTATATATAAAAAAATAAATTTAGTATTTTATATTTATATTAATCTATTATATATAAAAATAAAAAATAAATAAAATTTTAATTCTTCTGATATTTTATAAAATTTATAATGGAGTCGAATTAAATCTAAACCCAATCTGCATCCATTAGGATTCGAATTCGATTAGATTTCATACCAGATTTGAATGCAATCTCTCAATAATCGAATTGGACGCAAAATTTTCTACATCCAAATCTGAGTCCGATCCAATTACAACCCTAGGCTCAAGTAAGATAGGGCACTCGACCTTACCCTTACTGATGTAACCGTTTTTGGTCACATACCATTTTTTGTGATGTATAAATTTTTTGGCTAAGTACCTCGTTGTTTAACCCGGTGGTGACGTGCCTTGGGGATGAGCTACTTGGTGGCGAACTCCCTGGGGGAGAACTGCTTGGTGACGAACTGCTTGGTGGCGAGCTCCCTGGTGGAGAGCTACTTGGTGACGAACTGCCGGGTGGCAAACTGCCTGGTGGCGAGCTGCCTGGTGGCGAGCTCCCTGGTGGAGAGCTACTTGATGACGAACTGCCGGGAGGCGAACTGCCTGGTGGCGAACTCCCTGGTGGAGAGCTACTTGGTGACGAACTGCCGGGTGGCGAACTGCCTGGTGGCGAACTACTTGGTGACGAACTG